GGGGGGGGGGGGGGGGGGGGGGGAAGGGGGGGGAGAAATGGAACGAGGCCAACATTTTTTCTTCATATCTTGAAATGGAACTCGCGAGCAGAGCCTCCGACTGGACATCTTTGTCGATGACCCTGGCAATAGGATAAGTTACGGCTGCCACGGGTGGCGTCATGGGGATTTCGCGATTTTCACATTTCGAGGCTGAGCCTTTCGATCTTCGGCTTTCGATAGAGGCTAAAAAACCGATTTTTCAAGTAAAAAAAAAGGAATCCGTTCTTCCTTCACGGTTCCAAACGTTCCTGATATTTTTAATGGATGCTATCAATATAATCTTACTCGTGGGACAAACGTTAAATTCGACTCTTAAAGAATTGCCTTTGAGGACCTAATGATCGGATACTGGCTAATTAAGGCTAGGATTGGCCTGGGCCATAAGCCTATGAAACCTATGATAGCGTTAAGCCTTGGGGTAGGGCAAGCGACAAAGACATGTTACAAGCTTTTCCGGCAGCTGTCTCTGCTCTCGGCGCACCACAGGTTTAATTCCGTGGTCAAACGCTTCCTCATTTTCCTCGACGATGACGATAACGAGACGAAAATTTTACTCCTTAACGAAACGACAAAATTTGACCGATGCGCTACCGGGAAGGTGACGACAATTTTTTCAAATGATGAAACTACTACAAGTGGATGATGACGAGATAAAAAATATATCAATACTTAGCATCTGACCGATATCGATAAGTTCATGGAACTTGACTGCGACGATGAGATGAAAGTTGGATCGCGTGATGGAATGACTCGAACTGACTCAAATGGAGGACTGGGAGAGTGATTCAAACGTGGCGACATGGCTAGTAGTTTCAGTCGATGAGATTAAGACCATGACCAAATTGAAATTTGTGGACAAAATTGAGAGAGAGAGTGCCGCCAACGTGACGTGCAAAGCCGACTCGCACTCTTCTCGATCGTTTCCTCGCAGAATTCTCCTTCACGATCACGACGTTCGCATTTTGAGAACGCGGATCGGAGACCATCGAAGCTGCCCGATCCGTCGTGTCGGGCGAGACGAGCGAGAGAGAGTACGGATGCAAACGACTCTCTGGCTCTTGGATGGATCCTTCGCCAGAGAGGGCACCGAGCCTCAAGTGTAATGAGGCGCAAAATTTGTGGAAAGAGGATAATAAAAAATTAGAGCGAGATTGGATGAAGACCAAATCTCGACGATAGCTAGGGACTTGGTACTCCTCCAGCTTCTAATAGCACCACTATGCATACATACATGCGTAATGCATTTGTGGGGTATTATAGGAATGGAACTCCGTGCCTTCGGGCAACAACAGGGGACGATGCAAGGACGCTGCGACGCTCTCATCATCGAAATTGCGACGAGGAGAGCGACTCCTGGCCGTCCCACTCGAATTTCCGACTCGAGGAGTCGTTGGGGGTCGTTGCAGAGCGGATGTCGCAGCGAGTGACGCGAATGTCTGCGGTGGAAAAGCCCGAAATAGACTGTGCGCGATATCCATTGAATCTTTTCGTGTCTGTCTCGTCTTCCGATCGCATCCCAAAACTCTGCTTTTCAAATTTCATCTACATTGTTCACGAAGCGCATATTGATTTCTCGCTCGTCTATAATATCATCCGTCCTCTATTCCTTCCGGAATAGATGAAGATTTAGAGCTCGTGGAGGCATGGAAGAGTCCTTTCGAACATCCTCGCCCTCCCCGATTTTTTTTATTTATTCCATTCCTTCCATCGCCCAGCTCCC